CAGAGAGGGACCTGGGGGTGTTGATTGACAGCCGGCTGAACAGGAGCCAGCAGTGTGCCCAGGGGGCCAAGAAGGCCAATGGCATCCTGGCTTGTGTCAGCACTGGCGTGGCCAGCAGGGACAGGGAAGGGATCTGACCCCTGTACTCAGCGCTGGTGAGGCCACACCTCGGTGACTGGGTTCAGTTTTGGGCCCCTCACCCCAAAAAGGACACTGAGTGACTCGAGCGTGTCCAGAGAAGGGCAACAGAGCTGGGGCAGGGTCTGGAGCACAGGTCTGCTGGGGAGCGGCTGAGGGAACTGGGGGGGTTTAGTCTGGAAAAGAGGAAGCTGAGGGGAGACCTCATCGCCCTCTACAGCTCCCTGACAGGAGGGTGCAGAGAGCTGGGGACAAGTCTCTTTAACCAAACATTAATCAATAGGACAAGAGGGAATGGCCTCAAGTTGCACCAGGGAAGGTTTAGACTAGATATTAGGAAGCATTTCTTTCCAGAAGGGGTGGTTGGGCATTGGAATGGGCTGCCCAGGGAGGTGGTGGAGTCCCCATCCCTGGAGGGGTTTAAGAGTTGGGTTGACATAGCGCTGAGGGATCTGGTGGAGTTGGGAACGGTCAATGTTGGGTTGATGGTTGGACGGGATGATCTTCAACCTTCAACCTTCAATCTTTTCCAACCTAGATGATTCTATGATTCTGTGTGATTCTGTGAAATGGCTGTGGACAGTGTGTATGCCAGCATTCAGAGTGATAGATATGTATTATACACTCAAAGAACCACTAGTGTATTTGGACATCTTAAACCTTTTGTCACAGAGCTCAGTTTCACTGTACAGTTGTTTACTACGCAATTAAAACATAACTCCTCATAAAGGCTGCAGTTTTCAACCAAATACAAAATCATTCCATCTGTCTTTCCAAAACCTGACATATGAAGTAAAACCAGCCTCCTAACCTTTGCATTATCTCTGTCTTCATATTTGTGCTGATCTTGCATTAAAAGGTTGCAATAGCTACTTTCCAGATAAGGTAAGAATTTCCTTCTTGATATGAACATGTTTTTAAGCATTTTTTTCCCTCTGACCTTTTTAGCTTCTGGGCACTAAAACAGCTCCCCCCAAAATTCCGCATCCTTTCTTACATTCAGATATGTTTTTAAGAGACGTATTGGTAAAATACATCAAATAAAGTCCCAAATTGCACTGTTTTGAAAACAGTGGTTTTATTTTGGCTGAACTGTTCTCTGGCATCTTGGCTTCGATTTTGGTTGTGTTGGCCTCATTAAGGAGAAGTGCCCTTTAGCATTTTAGGAAGACTGCTGAAGGATTAAAACATATGCACAGGCTTAATTCTTTGGTACTTTTATGTTTATGATTTCTTTGGTTTTATAAAATGTGGATTTATCCAGGACTTCAAGTGACCCTCCCACCAGTAAAGCGGCCCTCTGAAGAGCAACATTCATATTAGCAATACTATCACTGTTTATACATACTGTACACAAAAGAATATGTCAAAATAATATTATTACATTTGCAGTGTCAAAAATAGAATGTCAAATGTCACAAAATAGAGAATTAAGCTTTCATTTGCCTGCCTTACACACCAGCATGCTGGTATAGTCATTAGTAACTGAATTGTATAGTACTTGCCCACCTTTTTGGGGCACAGAATAGATGATATTCTTTTAACGAGCATTTACACATATCCTCATTTTCTATTATGTTGTTGCAGTTCTTATTTACTGTACTGAATTTAAACCCTGTTTGGAAGACTAAATTATTAACTGCTTTTTGGGAGGTCTCATAAAGAAAGCACTCCATCAGAAGAATCTTCACAGTTCCTGTGTGAGGTGGGACAGTACTCCCTCTGACCATGTGCTGTTTTATAGAAGAGAACTGCAGTGCATGGAAGAAAGCCAGAGATATTTGTTAATTTGGTATGCCTAGGACTTCATTTTTTTTTTCAGAGAACTTACATATGCCAAGGATGGTCCCCTCTGATTTTGTTTACAACGATGAGCTCTCACACCTTCCATAAATTAGGCCACAATTAGAATCTCCAGTCAGGAAGTGAGAAAAGTAGGAGGGCACAGACAATGACCACCTGTGAGACATTTGGTTAAATTACTTACTTCTTGTCACATATGAATCTGAATTTACCAGAGTAGCACTCATGGTTTTAATCATTAAAGCATCCTTTCTGTGTTAGCAATATCCTGATCCCTCAACCAAACACCTTCTACCTTCCAGACCAAGTGAGTTAGAGGTTCTTAAAGAAAATATCCTCCCTTCTTACAAGCCATGGTTTATCTACAAGCATGTCCACCCTGGGCACTGTCAAGGAGAGAGTGCCTGTGGAAAACACAACATGATCACAGAACTCTACTGTATAAGCATGTGTCTGCGTCTAAGCCGGATGTGGACAACTGGCCTGGAACACTTCAGCCAGAAGACTGGAGAAGTTATTACCAACTGAACACGTTTGCATCAGCAGATGTGAGACTCAGTCACAAGAAGTTACTATCCACACCATACTGCTTACAGTGAACTGTTAGTAACATAAATATTGATGAAACAGGTAGTCTAATACTCAGGATTACCAGAACACATGATCTGAGTGTATTAGGCCTGGCTTAGGGGGACATACAGAAGGGAGAGAATACATCAGAACACAAAGCTCAGAGAGACACACACAGACAAAGACAAGGGATGGGTGCCCAGGGGCACATAGCGGGCAGTTCCTACAGATGAGAGGTTTTGTAATCACAGGAAGGGGTTGGCTTGAAACCCTCTCCATGGAAACAAAAATGAAGATGTTGGGTAAATCAGAGAGAGGCTCATCCTGTGACTGAATTGCAGCAGCTGCTTTGCAGTTCAACAGAGCTTTGTGAGGAGACCAGAAGAAGGGCAGTCCTATGACCTGACCTCGTGGGCGACCTGAACGCCACAGATGGAGGGAGAAGTCCCACTGTCACTTCGGGAGCTCTTTTCTTTTCCCCAGCCTCTCTGAATTCCTCACTGATTATGTCCTCACAATTCCTGTAACCCACAAATGCATGAAGACTTCAGCAGCGGGATCTAAACTCAGGAACTGCTCTTCTGGTACTGTCATCACTCTTGCAAAGACTCACAAGAAAAGTGTGAGCTGGTGGGTGGGGGCAATCCTAGGTCCCTCGAGAATCACTCTCTTACTGCTGTCCACCTCAATGTGCAAGAAAAAACTTCGTAACATATCAAGAGGACTTTTCCTTGTAGGAAAAGGAGCAGAGGTTCTAACTATTCCCTTTTCAAAAAATCTTACAGGAACAGATTTACTCCTTTTTTTTTCCTCTCTCTTTCTTCAGGAAAAAAAAAAAAAAAAGTTGCCCAAACATTCTCTTTCTCCAAATTCCTCACACACCCTGTTTTAAAAAACAGCAGCACTAGCTGTGCTTTGGTTTCACTTCTTCCTCCCCAAGTCCCAGAAACGAGCCCGTGATTATTACACCCTGCCCAGCTAATTTTTGTAGAGGGAATACAATTTACACTGTACAACTGAGTAATCTGATTGTTTAACACTGGCTACAGACTTCCATGCTCATATTATTCCCTCCCAGTTTACAACATGTTCATTTTTAGAATACTTGCGTAGATCTATGCAAGTCTGATGATGTTACAGCCATTTATTCTCCCCAGCCAAAAATACTGGTATCTAGACTCAACACTGTAACAATAACAGTAATCATTTCCCCCCTCAAAGAAGGAAACACAAAGGACACACAAAACAGTCCACAGAAATTACAGTGGTAACACAGAGTATTTATAAATACAAGCATGCTAGTCCGCAATAGCTACATAATCATATAGTCAACACATTTCCTAGTATTAATCAGATCAACCTGTTTAATTCTGTTCATAAAAAAAATCCTTTACTACACTAGCTCATCCCAGCAGGAGTGCACTTAAAAACTAAGCTGATGTGCGTTAACATACTTTGGAGAGACGCTTCTTTTTACATTTAAGTACAGGTATACAAAACAGGATACATCTTTTCACTATCACAGCATGGTAAATTAAAGGTTGAGCAGGGTGGCAGCCACCCATGAGAGCTTGCAAGGCTATGGGGAACAGGTTAGCTCTCATGGGACTTCTGTGAACAGCATCTGGACATTGTAAACTGTTGTTACATTTTTGTAATAAAAACATAGTATTAAATTTCCTCCTTAGCTGGATGTTCTCCATCCTTGTATTATCAAACTCAGCTCTTAGATGACAGATTGGATCTTTCTCATCATCAGTCAAAATGCTTTTAATTTGGGGACACATTTAATACACAATCTGAGAGTATCACAGCACTCCTTCAAAAATGTACAGGCAAAAGATGGAGAGTGCTTTTCGAGTGGCATGCCATTTATCTCTGGTGTATTACAGCGCAACTACAGCTAAAGCTTGCTACATTAGCACACAGAGGTATATGAAAACAGTCATTTTGCACTACTCTAAAATAACCTTTTCCAGACTGCTCCAGGTGACAGTCCTGTTCACTTTTCCTTAACTGAAGAATGGTTCCTCCTACGCTACCTTGCTGCCGACTAGCAGGGGCTGGTACTGCCGCAGGACACTTGCACTCTTGGAGATAGTCCTTGTCCGTATTGCATGGCACCGATCCCTACCTCCTGCAAAGGGCAACTCCACACCCTCTGAAGACACCGCGGAGGTCACCCACATCAGACCTTCAACTAACACATTCTCCTTCCCCTGATCAACTATGCATCGACTTTTTTTTTTTCAGTGGGGAAGAAACTCTCTCAAGACCGATCTGACTGTTTGCAGTCATACCGTATATCCACGCAAGAGAGGTGCACGAAGGCTCTGAAATCGCTCAACACTTGGATCAAGATTTGGCCCCTAATGTCTGACCACAGGAACCAAGTACTCCCAAAGCGTCACCCTGACTCACCAGTAGTCAAACCAAGATTGAGAATCATATTTTCTGACATACTGAAATGTTTTAGTCAGAAAACTTACTTGACAGGAGATGCATCTTGATAGTTCCAGTATTTACCTCCTCTCCATCTTCTGTTAGATTTACTGCAAACATAAATTAAGATTAATACAGCTGTTAACTTGTGGAGCTAAAAGAAGTGCAAGCAGATAAAGTGCATAAAGAACAGGACAAGCTAGATGTTTGTTAGTTTGATGCATCATCATGAATATAGTAGTAAGCCTCTGCCCGTACAATAATAATTAACGAGGTAGTGAGCAGAAAGATTCACCTTACATAAGGACTGTCAGATACAGGACCGCGCTCAGCATTGGTGTCCTTTGTTCTGCAGTTCAGACCTGTATCATTAGTGGGATATAAACACAGATTTCAGTTTTCTACTAAGTTCATTTGCTGACCATATTCACATTCTAGAGAGGCACTGACATGTTAAATACACACGTCAGAAGTTTACGTTTTCTTGTGGTATATATTAATGAATTAAGCTACATGTTAAATGGGCATTTGGTGCATTATTTAAGTAATTTCCTAATAGACAGTAAGCAAAAACATTTTATAAGTCCTGACATAAAAAGGAAAGATTTAAGATTTTGTCCACAGGGATAACTTAAATACTCTGCCATGATTCATGACTAGAAGATTGGTAGCCACTGTACCAATAAATAAACTGCTGCCCAAATCTAAAGTGATTCAAGAGATAATAACTATAAGCTATCAAACTGGGTTTTTTTCAGCATTTGTTCCTTCTAGGCTAAGAAATTTCTCTAACAGCTAGATAACACAATGCAATTTTTTTCAGGAAAAAGAGTCCTCATGAGTATTTATTATAATTTAATCCATTAGCAACTGTTTATCCAGACCTCATTAATCTATTTTTTACCACCTTCATTTTCAAACCTAAGCATTATACACATTTTAGCTAAACATAAAATTAGCACACCCTCTATGCATCATACCTTCATTAGCACTGCTCCTAAACATGTAAAAACATGATTGACATTATAAAACAGCCACAGATACCAACTTCAGGCAAGGTATTCTTGGGTTAAAACTGGCATCAACACTAACATAAAATTACTCTTGCACAAAACATCACAGAGATGGTTATCAACTGCAGTGAAGAAGAACAAAAAGTTAGCATTAAACTTTAGAAAAACATGAATTTCATCTGCATGGGCCAAGGAACAGATTGTTTTTTCAATTGTTTACTCTTCTCTTTTGTTGTTATTATTTCTGTTTCTTTGTATTACCATAATATTCTCGGAAAACTGATCCATGAGATCTCAGTCTCTGGGATTTTTGTCACCAACTTCAGTGGAAACAGCTGCAGGGTCCCGCAAAGATGCCTTATGTTTATGGACTTTGATTATTACTATTCTGCTCAGATATCATACTACCTTCTTCATGAATGGTAAATATTGCATTTGGATTAAAAATATGCACAAGATGCACTTAGAGTTACAAGGCACTTAAAGTAATTTCTGAATAAAATATGGAACATATTACAGCTCAGATTAGATTTAGAAAAACCCTTTAGCTAGTTTCAGAAGTTTTGGACACTACCTAGTTACCACCAGGTAATATGCAAGGAAAATTAAGTTATGTCCACTATTTTGAGGACTCTCTTAAAACATTAGTCAATTATTTACAATGCAGTCAAGTCTGATGTTTTTCCTCAGCTGCAACTGAGTTAGGATTTTAGGGATTAGCCTTCACTGAATATACAGTGGTTGCACTCTAAAGAGATTAAACCATTTTTTTCCAGTTACTTTCATCCGTGTATTAAATTGTTATACCTGCTAACTGTAGTGCACAAACTCCTGTTCACCATAGCTGTATCTACTGCCTCACCATATTTTTTTTGTGAAGAACAGTGCTGCACTGGATTTGTCTTTACACTCATGCAATACATTCTCTACACCTGCCTTATTATTAACTATGCATAAAACAAATGCTGCAGGACACGTTTTTAGATATATATGTATATTTATTATAAAACCTGAGCGTTTGCTCACTAAGAAAAAGTTACTGCATGAGAGTATTAAACACTGAATTGAATATTGAATGTTCCAATCATTCCACATATTATTTCAATATTTAAACAGTGTTTTAAACAGAAATACTAAATTAATTAAAAAAGAAAAGGTGTGCACTTAAATGCTAACTATTGACAAGAACACGAAAATCAAGATTACTGTTTTCTGGTCAACCTTGTGTGAATTCCCTCTCCACTGGAGCTGATGACCAGCTTCTGTTAATGTTGCTATAAATTGAGATATTTTATAAACACAGTTCATTAGAGTGAGGTTAGGCTGAAATGGGAGTATATAAACTAGAGTACAGAAGACAAACTATCACAATGAGGTTACCTTTTATTCCCCACACTTTTATTTTTCCTGTTTACCTCAAGTTGGACTAAATTTACCAAAATTTGTCATGGGATCTGTGTGACTAATGACAAGAAAATTTGAATCTTGGCTAGTTCAGCGTCCTCTGTGCAGGCACAGGTTATGCCACCTTGTGTGTGTGATGAGCAAATTTTGTTCTTCTATTTACACAATCCACAAACAAAATGGTGGTGAGTGGGTGGAGTTAAGAGCACCAGCATTTGTTTGCCATTTTAAGAGAAATTTGCATAAGCAGTCTCTAATATGCCTCAGCAAATTTAGATGAATGAATGGGTCATCTTAGCAACCACTGACATTATATACTATATAAGCATGCATTTAACCACAAAATTGTTTAGTCATTTTCAGTTACCGAAATGGTTCTATAGGTACAGATTAGAGAAGGAACCCCTTAAAAGCCTCAGAAGGAATTTCTCACAATGATGAATATGTGCCTTGAGACCTCATTCAGAAACAGCTTTGATAAACAGCTTGATCGAATAATTTGTGCCTCTCCAGGAAGATTTAGAAAGTCAAACACACAAAAGTCACTATTTATCTGCAATGCTAAAGTGTTATATTATCCAGATTTCTTAATGGCAGACCCACTGCAGTCAACTGAGGCAAAAGACTTAGGAGAGCCCAGGGCCCAATCCATCAAGGTGCCAACACCCTCATGCGCAAAGAGCAGCACTGGTTCCAGCAGAAGTCAAAAGGACTGAAAATACCGGCTTTGCCAGAGGCTTGATCAGTTCACAGGGTTCGGTGTTTAAACAGACCAGTAGTCCCATTCGAGTAACATAAAATCAAATACATCTGAAGGATCATAGGGAGAGATCCCTTCGCTGTGGTTCAAGTGGGCAGGTAGTTCCAACAGGAAGGTAAATATTAAGATCCCAAAGCCAAATGAATTCCTTATCAGTTCTGTGACTTAAGGGTTGTTTTCACACTGTGTTTTATAATGGCTTTATAATGGCTTTAAAATAAAGATTCTTTGAAATAAAACTTTTGGAATAAAAATCATATAATTACAACCTGTAATTAACATGTGACTTAAAAAAGTTCCAAGAAAATATTCAATTAACAATACATCTTCAATATCCCCAGCACCCAGCCCCACATACCTTCTGTTCTCGATGTCCTACTTTGGCCCTACACTAAGGCATCTGATACCAACATTTGCAAATTAATTTACTATTTAGCTTACAAGTAATTGAATCCAAATGAGTACAGCACTCAGAGTTTTCACACAGGCTAATACCTTTCACTTAAAGACTGGGCAATTAATGTTGGAGAAAAATGCAATTAACAAGGTAAAAGCACCACAAAAATAGTAAACTGTGCATATTTCAAATGTGTACAGCCATACGCTCATTCATTATTTTCCTGCGTCCATCAGCAATTTCTGAAGCTTTTCAAAACTAGGCACAGTTCTCATTATGGTATAGTTTATTATGGTTAGAAATAAGGACTTGTGAAAATTACTTGTCTGTGTATCTGAAACAAGTCCTGAAAACTGCCACCTATGACTCACCTGCGCCCCACAGTTAGCAGAGCCAGAAGCATATGGTGGGCAAATTATGATAGGAACCCAACTCCTTTTCCCCGGAACACAATTGTACTAACTTGAAAGACACCCTGACCAAAAAAAAAAAAAAAAAAAAAAAAAGTCAGCCTGATCATCTTAGGCACTAACACAGTATTTTCCAACTTTAAAAGAAGATGGTGAGGTTTTTCTTAAAGAGCAGTGAGAGCATCTTTGCTTTTTGTTCAGGCAGCTCCAGACATTCCAACATACAGAAGTGATCATTCATTTGTATAATCATCATTTTTATTTTAAAACCCCAAAACACAGCTATTGACCAGTTATAATCAAATTAAGTTTAGAGTAACTGAAAATGTATCTTTCTGATCACCTCTAAATAAGGAGGCTTTGTATAGATCTGGGGAGTCAGAGACTAGTATTCCTTCTCTACAGAACGGGAAAAATATCCTCTGCTAGTTTAAAGCAAATATGCCTCAAACCATCTATAACATGCATTCAAGATTTTTTTTACAGTTAGTATAGAATGTATAACTACTATTTCATTCAAAAAAAAGTTGATCAGGACAAATTGCCTGTTGTCCATAGAACAGCAAGTAAAGTTGAGCATCCTGCTCCGTCCCTCGTGAACTGGTTGCCCTCAGTCAGCTCTCACAATGCTTCCTCCTCACACCTTCTTCCACAAAGCACAAACAGCCACAGGCACGTTCATTTCAATATTCATTTTCCTCTAGTTCCTTTTCCCATGTTAAAGATGCTGGGGAGGACTGAACCACTGCTGCATCTTCATTAGCTACAAGATTGCTGTGGATAGATGCTCAGTTTAGACTCAAAACAGGCAGCATGTTTGAGGCACGGCGAGCAGCAGGGTTACTACTGAGTACTGCAAGTCTTCCCTTTGAGGGCCGTATCTGCCAAAGCAAGTGGGACTGCTCACTTCGTAAACATGTCCTTTGAGAGCTTCCTTGGCATAAGCCGCACTGATGGTCGGCACTTTGCAGGCCAAAGCTTTCCAGCTTTTTGGCTTTCTGAATATAGATGAGGGCACTGGTGCAGGTATGCTTGCATGCTTTCTGCTCACAGACAACCCGATGCTGTAAAACATGAAGTAAATGAGAGGAGAGGGGGAAGAGCCGTCCCCAGTAGTTTTAAGTGTTACTGCTGTGCCTGCTCTTCTTCCTCTCTTCAGTTGAAACCCATAGGTATGGCAGGTTACAGCTTTGCTAAAGGGCTGAAAAGGGTGTGTGTGGAATGTGCATTTTGAGCCCAGCGAAGAGTTAATCCTCTTTTCACGAAGCCTTCAGAGGACTCAGAGGGCAGGAAGCCAATAGAAAACCACCCCCCACAAACCTCCAAACCCTCAAGATTATGTAGAAGCAACTTCAAGCAACCTCGGTCCCATGTGAGTGGAAGGCATCGAGTCAAGCCTTCGACCTGCCTGACAACAAAGGTGTGGGCATACCTGCTCGTACTCCACGTGTGTATGTGCGTGTTCATGCATTCTGCGCTCCCGGGTTCTGCTCTGCTTCAGGAGACAAGGACGGGCATGTTCAGCACCCCTCTTTCTCTGACGGATGGCCACCGCAGGAGCAAATGCCTCCACACGAACCCCACCCGGGGCCGCCCTCTCCAAGTCACACAGCACAGCAACTGTCTCTTATACACAT